AACCTATATTAAGAGCCACATTTTTGTAGAGGAAGCCTTGAGTGTGTTAAGTCCTGGGTGAATATGTGCTGTTGACATGACCCAGCCAGGCCAAGGACCTTACTCTCAGCTGCATGGAAAAGAGCACACTGTCCACCTCCCTGGGGGGTGGGGTAAATTTAAGCTCAGAGAGGTAGCAAAGCCTCCCTCTGCTCCTTGCTCTGATGTTCAAAGAGTATTCTCTACTACTCAGCTATTAAAAACAAGAACATCATGAAATTTGCAGGCAAGTGGATGGAACTAGAAAAGATCATCCTGAGGTAATCTAGACCCAGAAAGACACACATGGTATGTACTCACTTATAAGCAGATATTAGCCATACAGTATTGGATAACTATGCTACAACCCACAGACTCAAAGAAAATAAGTAACAGAGGGCTCAAGGGAAGATGCTTGAATTCCACTAGGATGGGAAAATAAAAACATCATAGACATTGGGAGTAGAGGGAACTGTGTGAGAGATGGAGTGGAGAGGGGAGGATAAGGTGTGAGGAGTGAGAATGGGGGTGAGAGGGTTGGGAGGAAGTGGGTAAAAGGGTGGTACTGGGAGGAGAGGAAGGAGTTGGGGGTTGCTTTTGGGATATAAAATGAATAAATAAATAAATAAATAAATGAAGGCTAAAAACAATTATATTCGCCCCCTTGATTTGCAGCCTGAAGACTTCTCCCCTACAGAGACTGCTACTACTAAGATTAGCTAACCCTGCCTCCTTATTCTGCTCTATTGTGACTCTGCTTAACTGTATGCAAAAATCCACCTCTGTGTTCAAACTGTGTGTAATGAATGTATTGAGCTATGGGGTACTGCAGTTTCTTCACCAGAGTCCACTTCTCCCGATCCCAGCTTGTTGTCCTCTTTTCTTCATTCCTTCACCACCCCAGGCAGGTCTGTCCAGGGACCTGCAGTTGTGCTGAATGTGACAACATTTATTATTTCTTTCTGTAAGGTGCAAATACTTTTTAGTTTTTCTTTACTGTTTTTCTATGCTAATATGTTACTTTCTACTGAACAGTACATCAACAATTAAAAATATACACAGTACAGAAGGAAAGTCTAAGTCCTTAAACACAAAAAAAGAGTACATTAAGTCACAGCACTTAAAGACTACAAAGTCTGCAAGCTACTGTCAGATTTTGGGGGTGTTTTTTAATACTTGCATATAGATGATGTGGTTTCTTGGAGACTGGACCCAGGTCTAAGCTTGGAATTTGTACTTTATATATTCCTCGCACACATAGTCTAAGAGTAATTTTGTGTGTCTATGTTTTCACTGTTATCACACCAATTTTCCTGTCAATAGTCAAAGAACTTGGCATTCTATCTTTCAGATTCGGATTTTCTGTAAAGAAAATCCATTTATACTTACTTCATGGCTTGTGCTCCCGGTCTTTGCACAATCCAAGTACTAAGTCCTTCTACTATGATGTCCACCAACTCTGGCTTTTGGTGATTTTCTCTTAGAACAATAGACATCCTTTTCAAGTGAACAAAAAACTTCAAGGCTTCAAACTAGAGAATATCCAGAATAAAAGAGAAGAGGTGTGGATGGGGAGAAGAAAGATATATAAATAAAACAATCTTATTTGTGTAACTCCTTTATTCCCAAAACCAGAGATAATTTTAAGACAATCCTTCATCTACCAAAGAATCACTAAAATAACTTTCATTTATATTTTGGGACTTAAGATAAAATCTTTATTTATAATCACCAAAAAAGAT